TCCTAGGCCTTGCCTTACTATTAGAGGTATCTTAAATTTCCTCAGTCAACCGAACCTTTTCCTAGTCACCGTAACCCCCCGTGCTTGAGGCACGGTCACTGGTGACTGAATGAAAAGCACGGGGGGCCGGTCTCTAGGCCCTACCCGAGTAGTCTACACACTTGGACTCCTACTCAAGTATTCACGACAGGAACGGGGCCCGTTCCTGTTTTTGACTCTTAACAGCAAACGCGAAACGGGGCCCGTTCTCGCGTCGCTTTGGACCGTGCCACCCTTGCTAAGTCCATTGAAACTACTTTCCATTTCCCGTTTCCCATTTGGCCCATGTCAACCCATATGAACAACTAACCTATACTATATATACAATGAATGGATCTCGTCAAACTCACACCTTCCTTTGTCATCACACTTTCTTGGCATACAAGTGTTAAGAAAGTGGCCCTGTCTACCCCTAAATCCTTAACAAGTGCACAACAAACGCCTCAATCTGCGCTTTGCGCAGTCGCAAGCCGCGGCGATGGCCCAGACACCATCCTCACCACTCATCGCCGCCACCACTGCTGCAGCTACGGAAGGAGCTTCGCGCGCCAGCCCCTCATCGACTTTTGAACAGCAACTAGTCTCTATCATCGAATCAGCCAATGATCTCGCGCGCGAACACGTAGAGGAGTACAATGCCAAACTCATGGTATTCCAGGCCTTCTGCGCCAAGTTCGAAGAAGCCGCACAACAATTCACCACCGGACCGCATCGACGTTTCGCTCAACAGTTTGCCGACAGCTTCCTCGACTCCTGGAAACGAGAGCTCTCCAGTGCCGGACCTACCATCCCAAAGCCTACCTACAGCAGCGTAGCCGCTGCCTCGCCTCGCACTGACCGTGGCCGTCTAACCCACAGACAACAACAACAACATGCACGCCGCCAAACAGATCCACCTCATCGCCAAGGGCAACCAAGGACCATCGCCCCATCCCGACAAGACCTCCGTGTCTTCATCCGTCTAGAAGCCGGGGCTCCGACCAGAGCCCACAGTAGCTATGCAATCCGAACCCTGATCCAGGAAAAACTCGGCGCCGTCTCAAACAAGATTCGACAGGTATTCCAGGTCAGATCGGGATGGGCCGTCCTGACTGCCGACTCTGAGACACGCGACTTTCTCGTAGAGAAGCAGGCCGAGTGGGCGGCTGAACTGGGAGCTACGACAGTCGAAACGAACAAGGAATGGTTCACCTATGTGGTCTCAGACTTCCCCACAAGACTGACCGACTTTCACGGTAAAGAAGTGGATAGTGACAGCATCGTCAGCGACGAGATAGAAATCCAGACGGGGCTCAAGCCTGTTGATATACGTCCTACGCGACAATTCTCGGACAACCCCTTGACCAAGACTCTACTTGTGTCGTTTCTGAAGCCCACAAAGAGATTCTGGTCGCTCTTTGGCAGCAGCGCGGCGAGACTGATTGACAAAACCGACCGACCCAGACAATGTGAGACGTGTTGGGGCTACCACTTTGCCCGCAACTGTCATAGACAGCCAGTTTGCCAACGTTGTGGTAAGACTGGCCACATCATAGACAATTGCACTGCACCGGAACAGTGCATCAACTGCTTAGGCCCTCACCAGGCCAACTTTCATAAGTGCCCAGCTCGGCCAAAGAGAGTGCACGGCGTGCTCCGCCGACTCACCAAAGAGCAACGAGGACATGTCCGGACCGTTGGCGCAGAGGCATACCGACAACGACACCTGGCACAACAACTAGAGTCGCATTTGGAAGCCCAATAATGCGACGATATCGCATCACACGAACAGCCGAGCATTCGTGGTCCAAGTCCAGCGGCATCAGGAGCACCCTCGTGCATCATGGTGGCCACAAGCCCTCAGGCGGGCTACGAAGCGGAGGAGGAGCCCGAGCATCCCCGACCAGGCTCACCGCGAAAACGGCGTATAGTTCTTATCACTCGTCCTCTTGACCAGGAATAGATACTCGCAGACACGAAAGAACAACAAGAAGCCGCTCAGGATCTTTCAGGCCAACGTCGGCAAGATCCCCCCGGCCCACGACTGCGCCCTGGCGCTGGCCGACTCGGAACGATATGACATTGTGCTCTTGCAGGAGCCGTGGACGTCTCATACCGAGTCCCGCTTTCTGACCAAAACTCACCCGGCATACGACACATTCACGCCAGTCGACATGTGGAGCAGCAACGACACTCGGCCTCGAGTCATGACATACGTCCGACGAGACTCAAGACTTGTTGTCCAGTGATCGGAATGGTCTGGTCTGGTCTGGTCTGGACCCCCAGACCAGACCAGACCAGCTGCTTACATAATAACCGGTCTGGTAGACCGGTTAGACCAACAAGACCGCCAAGAATGAGGCTGTCAGGGTTCCACCTGACAGGTCACGTGGACGCTCGGATAAATACGGTATTGTCGCTCAAGGGCAGAACGTTTTCTGCTCCCTGAGCCGACCTCTTCGTCAATACACGCTATGCTTGCTGCAAAGCCTCTGGCCCCGTGACAGTTGAAGTAGTGGAAGGAAGAAAGGAAATGTGTTTTACGAATAGCTATCAACCCATTCATTATCATTCTCACTATCCTCGCTATCACTGTCATCCTCAACCTGGGGCTTTCCATACCAAGCCCGGAGACACTCACAAGCTTCTATGATATCTGCTTTCAGCCTACCACGGCGATCAACTATAGTAAGCTTTGCGCTACTAAAAAGGCGTTCGCACTCATCTGACATGGGTGAGATCGCAAACAGATCCAGAGCGAAGCGAGCGAGATCTCTCTGGGAGTCATAACGAGATAGCCAGTACGCAATGGCGTCATCGTAACCTGCCTCGTCGTCATGGAGCCTGTCGGTAGAAATATATTGTTCATACAAATCTGTTGTGGAGACCGGAGCGTCTGTTCGAATACGCTTATGTTCCCGCTGGCGATCAAATGCTGGGCCAGGAGCTCTCTCCTTCCTGGCCGGTGGTGGCAGCATCTCAACAGGGTGTCTTCCCTTATACTCTGTCTCCCAGAGATGCTTCACCGCTGATTGTGCGTTATCAAACCACCTCTTCTTCTCTTCGTCGCCGTGAAGAACCCACTCTTGCCTGAACCACGCCCACTTGCGATATGGATCGAGGATTTGAGCCGCATAGTATGCCGGTGGAAGGTCAGTATCTTCAGGGAATCGATTCTGCCAATTTAGCTGCTGGTTGTTGTAGTACTCGGCGCATTTTGACCACGCGGCATCTGCGCAGCTTTGAAGGTACTTCCATGTAAAGTTATTATCGTCCTCAGTGTGGATGTCGTGGTAGTGATCCTTCGTCTCGCTTACCTCTCGAAGAAGGCAGTCCAAAGTTGAAAACCAGTCAGCAAGTGACGTCTTCTTACCTTCAGAAAGCAAAGTTGCAGCGTAGAAGTCTTTTAGAGCGAGTTCAATCTTTTCAAGCTCGAACCAGTGCTGTCCATCAAGTTTAAAGTTCGCAATCCCTTGAGAGCCTTTCCCAGGTACATGGCGAGCTGAGAAGATCTCTAAGCGTTCCCGAACATTCAATGCCCGTGTAATTGAATGAAACCATGAATTCCAGCGTGTCGAGTTGTTCTGGATAAGCTCGAGCCCGTCGAATTCAGAGAGATCTCCGCCGATAATGATTGCAGCAAACTCCTCACGGCGTTGTGGAGTAAGCCTAATGTATCGTACGAGGTTGTGAAGCCGACCTAAACATCCAAATTTTTTCCAGAGCTCTTCCACCTTCACATAGTCTCCGCGTTGATAGTGCTTTTCAAGCTTTGCTAGATACTTCTCACAGTTCCGACCCATGAGAAACGCCTGGCAGCAGAGGTTGACAATGTGGCCCAAGCAGCGAAGTCGGCGATGGCGACGTTGTTTCGAGTCCATCCATGGGCAGAGCTCCTTGAGTATGAATCCAACAGCGGTATCATTTGACGAGGCATTATCCAGCATGAAATATCCAATCTCATCTCCGCCAATATCATATTCTTTTAGCAATTCAAGAACAACTGATCCAAGATTCTCGCCAGTGTGTTCGCCGTACACACGTCGTATACCCAAAACGGTAGTTCGTCGCTTGCCAGTAGTGTCAATCCACATGGCGATGACACCTAGAATAGCGTAAGGGTTTGGCGAGGTCCAGAGATCAAAGGAGATGGAGATTCTACTCCGCGAGCGCTGGGGGTCCTCTCTGAGCCGTTGCTTCTTCGACAGAAAGGCGTCAATAACCCAACTTCGAATAGTTTTCGCTGCCTTTGGAAGGTGGTTGAGAAGTGCCGGATTCAAAAGAAGAGTAGTTCTCGGAAATACCGATTTTCTAGTTGAAAGAAAGCAATATGACAGTACACAATCCAACGAATTAGAAGCTCTTTGAACTTCTCCATTGAGTCTTTCCAGAAGAAGGTATTAGTAGCAGCCGCGCTCTTCTGCTGATCTAGTACAGACTTCCGTGTCGAACTATGTTTCTTGATACCACTCTGGGGATCAATCTGGTGCTTTTGTTCTAGGTGATTTCTGACCTTAGAAGTGCCATTGATAACGAACAATTCTTGCTTGTTCTTTCCAGCCGTGCACTCGTGACAGTAATACACCTCTTTCTTATCGCTACCTCGAATGTATTGGAGGCCATACTTCCAGATGTGTGATGAACCTAGACGAAATCCCTTCTTTGTAATTGTCGCGCGTTTCACGTAGGTGATACGGTCCTGTACGAACTCATCCGGAGGTTCGTGATATCGAATAGGGGCTGGTGATAGAGTAGGGGTGGGTGACGACGTAGGGACAGGAGATGGTGTAAGAGACGTTGAATTTGGTACCATTATAGTCAATGGAGACGGTAAGGGTGGAGCTGATGACTCCATAACAATAGCATACAAGCAGGTTGTTATGGACTTGATTGTTTTATGTGAGTGGAAAACTCAAGCTGTTCTCAGGGGCTCATAATTTCATTCCGTACTCAATGTTCTAACTGCATTAGTCTAAGATTCAGCCACCCCGATCTATTTATAGCCAGACCGGTCCAGACCATTAAGACCGGTCCGACCATGGTCTTGAGAAATCCTCAGACCAGACCAAGTCTTGGCGGTCTAGACCAGACCAAGACCAAGTCAGACCAGACCATTCCGATCACTGGGCTCCATTTCGGGCTTTTGTTCTTAGCTGCACTTGCTGACATTCTAGTCCTACGTACCAAAAGCAATTATCTCCTAAGGGCCCACCAGGCCGGAATTAGGTCACGATGACGGGTAATAGTCAATTAAAATGCAAAGAACAAGAGGTACTTCTACCGCCACCTAAATTATGTGGTGGTATAAGTACCAGCAGGTCTCATCATTACAAATCGGTACATCGCGCACCTTGCACCTATCCCATCGAGTGCTAACTGACGCCAGATACAATGTGAGATACGCAGCTATACGATGGGGTGAGTGTATTAAGATGTGGACCCGAATGCGGTGATGTTATTGATTGTCGACTTGATATTTCTGATCAGTCTGTCAGGGAGGGGTTGGTACTATTCCCCCTCCTTTTCTGGATACAAGAATAATATTGTGATAAAGGAAAGTGGAGCCCATTCCTGCTGGATTAATGATAGCGCCTCGATAAAAGAAACGTGTATTTTGTGGGTCCCTGGATATATCAATACCGGGTGGCGGGGAAAAACACTTGGAAGAAAAAGAACAGAGACAAAAAAGAAGGGCGAGCTCCTGGGGACTAGATTGATCCTCAAGTGTGAAAATTAACCTCATTTTAGTTGGACATCAACCCCACTCGCGTATTTAACAATTCCCGTCCGCCAATCTAACATCTTTCAACCCCACTTGGCGTGTCCTGAACGCGCTTTAACTCAGATGCATTCCACATCAGACGCGTAGCACGTAACAGTTCAAATGACTGCGGACGTTCCGCGTCGGCACCAGACATCTCCGTCAGAAATGGCACTTGGGACGTTTAATGCTTCTTATGCCCGAGCCACCGCCTAAACATCCACAGCTATCATAGTCCAAGCCTTGTCACTACATCCCCTCGGCATTCAAACTCCTTCATTCGACGCATTCTTTCGTCTAATCTTACTCCTGGCTGACCCTTCCCCCTAGCTCTCTATATCAACTTCTCTCCTTGCTTCATTTTGAGCAAGCTATCTTCTGAGCACTGTTCCTACGCTACAAGAACGCATCGAGAGCTGTGAGCTCCTCGAAAGATGGCCACAGGGGAAGATGTCTGGGACTCTCTCCCAAAGGGGGAGCAAAAGGCTATCTGGGATGAGACTGAACGCAATTTCTGGGTTAACCTCCGCAGCAAGAAGGATGCCGAGAACAAAAAGATCGAGAAAGATTTCCAGCTCTCAATTAATGAAGTTCGGTTGAAGTTCAGTGATCTCACAGGGCAGCGAAGTCAACTGGAAGAATCTCAATCCCGATTAGCCAGAGAACTCGCCAAAGTCGAGGCGGAACTGGCACGCACCACTGAGGAGTGTGAGGAGAAGGCCAACCGACTTGAGCGCATTGAGCAAGACTACCGCGCGTCGCGTCAGAAGAGAGAGGAAACGCTGCATGATATTTGGTTCAAGATGCGCCGATTCTTCAGACAAAAGAGAGGGGAGGATCCTGGTGCACCAGACCATCTCGGACCCGAATCAGAAGGCATTGTTCTGCCTGAACTGTTGCCAGAGCTATCCTCAGCTTATAACGGGCCGATCCCACGAATAGAGCCTACAAATGGCACTGCAACGGGAGCGGACAGACCCGACGAAGTAGATGATGAGGATCGTATGGAAGGCATTGAGCACCACGACAATGAGGCAGCCGAGACCCTCGTTGATGTTGTTGATGCTGATGGCAATGTGATCGGACCCGTGGAACAAATTGAACCTTGGAACCAATGGGTTGAGGGAATCCAAGCATTGGAGATACGAAGACCTGTCAAGATCCGCCGAGGACGACGCTTCAACGCCACACATCTTGCAGGCATTTACGAACGAATTGAGGCGAAGGGGGTCAAATGGCTCTCTTGTATGATTCAAGCTACAGGAGAAATTCAGACCAAGAGATGTCAGTCATGCGACAAGAACCAAGGCGCCTTTGATGACTGCATTATTGTCGGCGGAGATCTCTTTCAGAAATGCGGCAACTGTGAATGGAATCGTCAGGGATGCCACGGTGCTTCAGGGGACACAATTGATATACTGGCCTCGAGGGAGAGAGCACGGCGGAAGAAACAGCTGGAAGAAGGAGTTCAACAGACTCCCGCAGGCCGTCCTTCGGAAACAATACATCCGACAGTTGAAGTTCAGCCAAGGCCTGAGCCAGCATGTCAACCAGAACCACAGCAAGTCGAGCAGGAGATCCCTGTGCCCTCTCGACCGCCTTCACCACAGCCCGTTCTACAGCGTACACTTGAAAGATTCCCTGAACGACAGCCTGAGAGACAACCGGATAGACAGATTGAGCCACAGCCCGAGCGACAACACGAACAGCAACCTGAGCGACGGCCTGAACGATCAATTGAGCCTCACCCTGTACGAGTGACTGAGTGTCAGGCAGAATGGACTACAACACGACAGCCAGAACGGCGCCCTGAGCCCCAAACCGAGCGAATTCTGGACCGATCCAATGACCGGTTCCATGATGTGATTGCTGCAAGGGCCCCAGAACGAACTGCCGAAGTAGCACCAGTGCAAATCGCTGAACGTCCTCGTGAAATGCCCCATAGACCAATTTATGGTTCACCTCACGGATCTCCAAGCCGTCTGACAACGGCTCCCAGGTCGGATTATGCTCCGGAACGTATGATTGACCCCGTGGACTCGCCCTTACCGACACCAATCTATCCTCAACCCAGGTCCTTGGAGACACCACGCTCTGTGCTTCCTTCGAGTGCCCCCCGCCACTCCCCTCATGACATTCTCCACCCATCAACAGAGCTCGATGGCTCTACCAAAGACCATCGCGGTTCTGTTCAGGTCCACACACCACGAGAACCTGAACGGATGAATACTCCACAAGAGTATCGTATAACTCCTGGGTTTACGCCGGCCAATATTAGAAGTCGACCTCCATCCAGCGAACGAGGAAGACCAACTCCACCATCGTTGCCCATTGATCCTTCATCACAGCCTCCTGAGTCTCCTCCTGCTCTACTATTGGAAGAGATCACCCGAGAGAACATGGTCCTCAAGAATGATGGAGTTGTTTACACTTATCCTGAATGCGTTGCGGGGGTGCCATTGGTCAAGATTAACGAGGAACACCCCTATTGGGAAGCCAACTGGCCAAACGTCAAAACACTTATTGAGCCACAGCTTGCTCAATGGCGCGAGAAGCATCAGGCTGCTATTGAAGCAGGTCCTAAGCAGGATAAGGGAGGCTCTTCAAAGTATCAAATTGGCAGACAGGTCAACCGTGGTATAAAAATTCTCGAATTCCACGAGAAGGGCCCCATCAGCCCTTATCAGTTGTTAGGTAAAAGATATATTCAGGCTGGCAAGGGTGGAATAACCTCATATGACACCCTATTTCGCCTGTCAGAGACAATATCGGAGCTCGAAAAATTCAATCTTGACATATCGCCGGCTGACTGGATGCGACAGCGTCTCCACGAACTGATTCAAACTCAGGGTCGCAATTTCAACCTGCCACGAACAATTCACGACTTCTATCATGACTCAAAACTCACAAGTCTTCGTTATAAGCATGGCTTCAAAAACATAGGACGCCCTTCTGGAGCCATGAAGGCTCGCTTGAGCCATGGCAGCCCTAGCACTATACCCAAACCTCCCCAAAAGCGCAAGTCTATGCACTCGGTTCCTACTACGCCTCGTAAAGATTCCTTCGTCAACCACTCTCCTCTGCCTGGTCAAATATCCTCAGGCTACAGAACTCCAGCCTCGGTCCCGGCCCCTGCTCCTCAGCCAGTCTTCAGCACCCACCTCAACAAGAAGCCCAAATACATGCCACCTGCATATTGTCGCCCCGATCACGACGAATTTCATTTTGAGGCTTGGTCCGATACAGATTCATGCAGTGGTGGCAGCATTACTAAATATGATTGGCGTCTTGCTGTAGTCAAGACTCGATTATATACCAGCCACATCAATGTTACACAGTATTGGACCTGGGTAGGTCAGATACAATGCTTTCAACATCAGGTACTCAAAGACGTGAAACCTGCGAAGTGGGGCCTGTTTAGGGACGAGATCGATTTCCATGTCCACATCGCAGAGATTGAGGAGATGGAGTGGAGTATCGAAGCACTTCGCGTTCACATCATTATGAAAAAGGGTGTCGGAGAGCTTGCTCCAGATGGCATGCCTCGAGGCGATGTCATGGCATCTTTCCCACGAGCACGTACAATGCGTCGCTTTCTGTTCTTTTGCAGAGAAAGGGGTATGAAAATGGCTAAGAAAGAGCCGTAAGTGTAGCCCCAGTGATGGAACTGTGGCAAGCAGAGAACTAACCTGGACGATAGTGAGGAACTTAATAACCTGTGGGATTCCATGATTTCTGAACAGTTGCCTGGTCGAGGCGATTCTAATCAACAGTTGGTGGAATGAGTTCGTTGACCACGAGCGGTGTTCATCGAGGGGTAAAGATGGCCCTGTTCTGTATGCCTATGTTTAATCATAATGCGATTTCTTACAGTTCTCTATTATTTTCTTCTTTCTATCGATCAAGCAGATCAATCCGCATATATCAGCACAGGAATTTGTGTGTTTAATGGAAATCGTATATGTCGACGCTTTAGCTTCAAGTGGTCGCAATGCGATGGCTTAACTGAGCGTAGGAGACGAGTAAGGAGACCGAACCCAAGTCTATAGCGTTTGACACGCCGGCGTTTGCGCTCCTCGGGGAGGGCCTGGTAATTTTCGGTGTCGATGGTGTTGCCAGCAAGAAGTTTGCCCAAGATGATATCGTGCTCCATTTACCGGTCAATAAGAGGATGAGTGATGTTAGTTTCAGGGGCGGAGTACATCGACTTGACAGTCGCGAGACTTTGGGAAGGCTGGGTCTTGATCCTTACCCACGGAATAGACACATCCGAGTTCATCGTCTACACTAGATATATAACAAAGGAATTTTTAGAAACGTTCACGATCCCCTTCAAAGCCCCGCTCGACAATGTGTTGGAAATTCCGGGAATCCCCCTTCCTTTCAGGGTTTAGACTGTTAGACTGAAAGTCCTAGATTTAGAGTTCAAAGTCCTAGATGAAATCATCTAGAGATATAAACCCGAGAAGAACTCTCATCTCAATAATTAACAATCAAGTTTTACAAAAAAAATTTTTTTTTCACCCAGCACTACTGCGCAATATAAACAACACTATAACGCAAAGGACTTTGCTGTAAATCCACAGCGCTCTACAAAACTGTAGCAGGGCAATAGCTTAGATTCTTAAGCTAATAAGTGAGGTTGACCATAACGGTCTTGGTCTTAGTAAATGCTTCCAAAGCATACTTGACCCCTTCTCTGCCGATGCCACTTTCAGTGTCAAAGTCTTAGGATAAAAGTCTTTGTGATTCTAGAAGCTCTATGTGACTTATTTAGTGAAACTCCAATTGTGGTCTTTGCGTCTTGGTTGCACAACCTGTTTACTCATATCACATCGTCGTCATTGCCTTGGCCCAAGGAGCACTATCATATTACCCAAGTGTCAGCACAGTACCTTGAAAAGACGGGAAATAAATCACGTACACCCCAGACCTGGTACAGAGACGCTTTCGGGTTATTCTCACTGGCCTCTTCAAATAAAATACGTGCAATAAACTCTGCCGTAGCCGAGTTGCAATTTTTGAAGCCCATAGTAAGCTTTCCCACCTGGAGTACATCGCTATAGTTGCTGCTGGCAGTGTAGACTCTGAGTACCTTATGATTACGACTCTCGACGTAATCCCATGCTGTTTGTCGGCTTTTGATGATAGCTTTACTTGTAAGCTAAATATCCATCTGAGTTCTATAGGCATGGCAAACCTTCAGTTCCTTCGGACTTTCCGTGCAGACCATAGACAACGACATCCGAGGTATACAAGTTAGCAAGTTTAGCCCCCGAGTCAGGTTCTTTTGCACCCACTGTGGCAAAGAGAGTGGCAAGCCAGGTCTTGATCCCCTTGGGAGCGGGTAAGTCAAGAGGCCAGATGCTGTTTTGCAGTGCCATTCTCGTTGTAGTCTTGGTAGATTGTGATGGTGTGTTATCTGATGGTTCCGGAGCCATTGAGTTCTGGCCACTAAATAGATACTTCCTGCCATACCATCCACTGGCGCTGGGCTTAGTTTGATCCGGCTACTTATGGATAGCTGGCACGGTTCGGGCCGAATTGCCAGGCGGAGCAGCCATGCTCCGGACGATTTATAATCTCTTTTGTTTATATTCTGGACCTCATTTGTAGTATCTACCTCTCTCTTAATGGGATACTTAATATGCAAGGTTGTGTAACATTTTCTTTAATAAAAATATCCAACGCAAGAGCGAGATCCTTCTACTTTAGTATCTATAAACAGAAGGGGTTCATAACCCGATTATGGAGAGCAGGTTTAAATCTTGGCTTGGGTTGTCTCCTTGGCCAGTTGTGCACGGAACTGCTTAGTTAGTTGCCTAATCGCCAAGTCCAACAGAACATCCTCGCTTCCACCAGGAATCCTGGCCCCAGGAACTTCTCGATAAATCTCTATATCGTCGTATCAGCTCTCTGTCTCGGTATAAAAGTATCTGCTGAATAGCTTACTCTCGGCAATCTCGCCCTTGCTCGTATGCATATAACCGTTGCCGCCGAACAATAGAACAGCGCATCTCGCACACTCGTCAAGAACAATGCCAGCGTTGGCTTTGCACAGAGCGGTCAGACCACCGAGTTCTTGGTCTGCTGTTTCCTTGGGCATCTTGGAGAGCTGGTATGCGAATGATTCTACCCAGGACCATTGCGCTTCCAGGATTGCACCACATTTAGCCAGTCGGTGACGTACCACGGGTTGTTCCATGAGAGTCTTGACAAAGTCAGCTGTGAATCACATCCACTCCATCTTCTGAACCCACCTTATTGAATGCCTTACGCTGAAGACAATATGCGAAGGCGCTGCTCAGGGCAACTCGAGCCTGACGGGTGACACCAACAGAGATGAACATACGCTCGTGGTTAAAGTTGTGTATGATGTACTTCATTCCCTCGTTCTCACGCCCGATTAGGTTTTCCCGTGGGACTCTTATATCATCAAGTTCGATAAAGGAAGTTCCAGCTACAATCTGCCCCGTAACTTTAAGTCGTCTCCTTATCACGCCAGGATGGTCCTTGAGCGGGACTAAGATTAAAGAAATGCCTTTTCCTCTAGAGTTTTCCCCACCAGTTCGGACTGCCATGCTAGCATAGTCTGCCATCATTCCATTGGTAATTCACTTTTTGGTCCCGTTAATGATATATTCGTTGCCACTCAGAGTAGCCGTCGTGGTGATGTTGGCGACGTCAGAGCCAGCACTAGAGATGAGATCAGTAAAGCTCTCATTGAGTGATATCTTGAACCCACTCTGGCTCCGTAATAGCAATACAGATTCTCTTTCGCCCGACTAAGAGATCTGGGAGAAATCTTTCTTGTAGCTGAGGCTCTGCATAATGCAACAGAGGGGGGATACCAAAAGCAACGCCAGTGGTGATGGAGCCAGGTGGTCCAGCAAGGCCGGAGCGGCTCATCTAGTGTTCAATACAGTCAGAATCGCGATTGATAATGCACCCGTGTGGTGCCATACCTCATCTGCATATATCATCGTATGCAAAGTGTCCCATTCCTCCACAGGTACCTAGCCGGGTATGTGAGTTATGCCTAGCTTTCGAAGCCATTCTACAGGTAAAGGCGCTGGCAAAGACGGCAGGATAAAGTTACCCTTTGCAAAGACCTCGAATAAGTTAGATAGTACCTCCTCTGCTGTTTCCCAGTCCAGGGCATTCTTGTTGAGGTTCTCATCGACGAATTGGCGACAAGCAGCCTGGAATCTGCGATGCGACGCGTTGAAGTACGGCGACGGGGCGCCTCTAAGCCACGGGGGGTCTGCGAAGGGGACTTGGTGAATGGCAGGGGGCATTTTGGAGGTGGTTTTGGAGACAGCAAGAGTTTTACAACAGTTAGGTTAAGGTATATTTAATGAATTGTAAGCTTGCATATATAAACAGTATTCCAAGGCTTCCAACCTCAGCGGCGGGCTTTTCCTATTGAGGAAACATGCCTCGGCATAACTATCTGGACTACCCCAAGCCAGCCGAGGCTGATTTTCGAATTGAGTTGCACTATTTGGCACAACAAGGCCACGTGACTGCAAAATTCTCTTCAAACTTTGAGGGAAATTCGACTTTTTCCCTTCTACACATACAAATTAGCATATAAATCAAAGAGTTATGATAATCGAAAATAAAGGCTGAAAAGTCAAAAAGTCGGTCTATTTAATTGATCTAAATTGCCGGCTGATAAATCGCAGCTCCTTTGGTGTTGAGGCCACCGTGGCTGCAACACCCCTGCCGCCAGATCGACTGACGGTTCCCTGTGACGCTGTATTGCCACCAAAACCCGAACCTTGTGATGATCGTGATGAAGATCGTAGCAAGACCTCGTCTTGCGAGAGGATTTGTCGGGCTCGGCTTTGCGGTCGGTCGGTCGGTCGGTCAGTTGGGCAGGCGGCTTTGATGAAGCTATCGCGAAAGGGGCTCTAGCTGTATAGGCATAAGCTGCTTGGTGTTGATGAATAATGTGTAAAATCGCGTTATTGAGGTTATCGCGAAGTTGATCCTTGGAAATTGAAAATCATCCGGAAGAATGTTATTGCAGGCGGCGCTAAACCCCTTTTGGACTTATTGTGCCAAATAGAGATATTTGTTGTGCCAAATAGTACAACTCTTCGAATTTTCCTACCCACTCAAGTGTCTCATTCCGGGTCTAATCAACATGGACGCGCCAAACGTCAAAGCTTGGACCAGGACTGAGAGTCATTTCAATTAATTGCTGGCATTAAGAAGTTTAAATGGCGTTTTAGCATTTGTCAGTGTCTCGAATCCAATAAATAGTGGATGTCCACTAATACCCGCTGGACGCTGACTCAATAATACGTTCTTAGTAAAAGGCATTCTGTGACCCAAATTAAAGGCCAGTGCATTATAAGCTGGCTCTAACACTGCTGAAGTTAGCGGGCTAGTTAATATTCTCAATGATAGTATAGACACTAACTTGGATTCATAGTGTCTGGAATAGTGCCATTGCACAGCCACTTAGGAATGGGTTTCTCTTTTGAATCCAATGCAGCATGTAACTCGAGGGCCGCCTTAACACGCGCACCAACGTCTGTGGATCTCCACACGTCCATACCTTGGATACGCAGCGTCTCGGCGATGTGAGAGATGGATGAGATGCCAAAGCTGGTGTGGGCAAAATCTCGGCAGGTCTCCTGCGTGATGCCACTAATTGGGAAGGTTTTTTGATTGTGCCAGAATTTGATAATCTCCGCGGTGGTATTGATCCGACCACGGCCTTGCACGGGATACTTCCCATCAGAGGTCAGGTAGATGTACGCGGGAACCCGGCCGGAGAACAACCCCAAGGACTTTTCGTACAGAGCTGCATCTTCAAGGAAGACGGCAGCCCCTATGGTAGACTCAATCATCACTACGAGCGTCAGCAGATCCGCTAGTGACAGTAATACAGAAGAAGTGGACCCACCTAGTTCCCAGTTTCCATTCTTCTGCGGGGCGCCGTCCTCGATGATGGGGATGTAGGCGTGTCGTAGCATGTCAGAGAACGTCTTGATACTCTTCTTGGACCAGTGTTCATAGCTCGAGCGCATGATTTCACCTGCACGTACCCAATTAGCGGACGACCAGGCCGCCTGCAGTGGTGCGTTGCTGTTGTTGTGACCTTGGATCGTGCTAGACCAGGCATCCATATAATGGATGGATTTCTCAGCATAGTGCTTGTCCTTCGTAATCCACCATGCCAATGCGTTCATGTATGCCGCCATGGAATCCTCGCGCTCCTGATAACACCCAATGTTGGGCGTCGATGTCGGTCCGCACTCGACCGTCTCATATGGCTCGGCCGTTCGCGTAGGCGAGATGTACGACATGTTAAGCATGGAATCCAATGCCTCCGTCCAAGGATTCTCCCTAGCCTCGATCCTCTTGGCAATGTGGTCGAGCTGCGGCCCGGAAACGAAAACTCCTGGATGAACCCATGTCTTGGGCGTAGTGATGTTGTACAGTATGTACAACCGTGTTGTACGTACGTACGTACAGAAAGAAAAAGTACGTACACGTACTATGTACGTACAATGGGATCCATAATACTCCTAATAGGGGAATTTGTGGGTCATATTGTACAAATACGGGGGGCTGTACAAAAACTCCGTTGGCTGAGCAGCTCAACACACTCTGCCATTCTCTCCCGATTGAAGGTGTTGAATGTTGGAGGGTTCACCCTCAACTTCAGGATTAAGGTTTAGGATTAAAGTTTGAAGCCCTAAACTTAGATCGTAGGACTTTCATCTAGGACTTTCTAGGACTCAAGTCCTAGAAGGAACCAGTCGAAGATATAAGGTCTCAATAGTCCTTCGATTGCGACAGAATCAAGAAATATACACGATTCACCTTAATATCTGACAGAAGGTATCGCCAAAAAGATGGCGCCCACCCAAGCTAACGCTGCCTTCGTTTGGCGACAGTTTATCGACCTCGGCCGCTCTAACTCCAAGAAAAGCAAGCGATACAGATGCCGTCACTGCCAAAAGGATTTTGCAGCGACCTCTGTTGGGAGGCCGAAAGAGCATCTCGCTGCGTGTGAGAAATGGCAAGCCAAGCAGCGACAAGAGCGTCAAGCTCAAGATAACGCTGGCTATCTTCCCTCATATTCAGAAGCTATACAAAAGAAGATAACCGAGGTCGGAATTCAGCATATCTCGCAGGACGAGAGTCACAGTTACGCCTATGATGCCGCCGCTGCTGTAATCGCCGGCGGTCGGCCCTTCAGCCTCTTCGAGAGCCGCCGTTTGCGTTATTTCTTCACTCGCATTAAGCCTGGCTGGAAGCCTCCTAGCCGCGCCTCCATCACGAGAATTCTTCCCGACTTCTATCAGGAACTCTATGACGAGGTTTTCAAACGCATTACCAGCTCAGAATGGTTCAACATCATATTTGACGCTTCCGATAATATCTCGGTACAGCTACCAGACGGCCCAGCCTTCTACTGGAAAACGTTTGACACGGGAGACGAACAGCACACAGCGGAGAACTGGGTGAAGCTGATATGGGGAGAAATGCAGCAACTGTGCGGCGGTGATCTCTCCAGAATCAATTCTATCTGTAAAGATACCGAAAACACGATGCGCTCTGTACACGGCTTGCTAGGGAGATTCCCAGAGCTCTCACATATCAACTTCTCTCTATGCGATTCTCACGGCCTTCAGCTTCTAATTAAAGATATCCTTCTTCTTCCATTCTTTGAGGATCTCTGTAATAACGTCAGCACCCTTCTCAAGTTCTTCTCACGGTCTAAATTACAATTGCAAAGATTGAGAATGTGCCAACGCACAAGGTGGAACGGAGTAACTCGCGCGCTGATCAGAAGGTACCGGTAAATCGTTAGCTGTGACTGAGAAATCGATATACTAACTCGCTCGTTCCGAATAGTATAATTGCACGCTGGGGTTCTCAGTACAATTCTTTCGTCTCCCTCCTCCGTTCTCGAGACCCTGCCAGAGACTGGTCTATTCGAAAAGATGTACGGGATGAGCTGCGATCTCAAGATTGCCCCGTTCTCCTACCCGAAGCGGTTCGAATCATCAAAGACAACAGCTTCTAGCTAAAACTAGAGGCTGCGATCGCTGTGCTAAAACCCGTGAACGAATTTCAACACGCTTCCGAGGCTGATGGGGCGGGAATCGCACACGTTATAAATCGCTGGCTGCAAATCAAAAGCAGATGGTCTGAGATGGGAGAGGCTGATCAGTTTCCTGATATTCCGTGGGACGACATTGACGCTATATTCAAAGCCCGGCTCGATAAGCAAACGTACGATATACATTGGATCGCCGATGCCCTCCGGCCTGATACAACAGGTCCAAATTCGAAACTGCCGCCTAGCGTCTTTGCGCGCGTACAAGAGTATTTGCAGAAACAGCTGAAAAACGACGACGAATATCACCGTGCCCTTTCCGAATTCACACACTTCCGAATGCGTACAGGCGGCCCAGACGGCTTGTTTAATAAGCACAGCGCTGTATACGATGATGGCTTCAAGCCAGCAATGGCGTGGCAGTGCCTCCTCAACCAGGGCTCGATTCTGGCTAGGGTAGCCGTGAAGGTAATGAACACGCTTGCGCCCTCAGAACGAAGTTTCTCTGCTATTAGTTTCATACACACGAAAGCTCGAAATCGCCTTACGCCCATGCACGCTGACATGCAGGCCTTCATTTTTATGAACGACCGCGTATTAGATCGCCTTAAGGATCAGAAGTACGCCCATAAAAAGCGCTGGGCGGATCTTGAGGAGAAGGACTGGCTAGAACTCGAAGATTCATATCTCGAGTTATTTGTGAATGCGCAGGGCAAGAAGGTCTGGATGGATGGTGTGATGGCCTCCACCAGTGGAGATTTTGAGTGGGAGGGTGTATTACAGTCGACGGGTGATATATTGGGGGTTGGCACTGAGGTGGAATCAGAGGTTTGAGGCCAGAATGGCAGAAGACGAGGACCGTGAGAAGCCTGCTAAGTTACCAGTATTACCTAAAAAGGAAGGGGGAAATTTGTATGGTACATATTTGTACGTACAATAAAGTTGTACGTACGTACAGCGGCTAAAATACAGTACGTACGTACGTACGTGTACAAGAAATTGCATCACTACAATGGAGACGATTTAATTCCACCAACACTCACGGTCACTGCCCCGCCCGGCTGGTGGGGCCGCTCCACCAACCACGGCGAAAAGTGGCTTTTCGTCAATGGGATTGGTGGAGAGTACTTCTGGCTTCAGTTGTACTGCGAAAAGCTGCGGGACACATATCGAAGGAACATTCAAGGCGTTTTCAACAGGAGCGACGGTCTCCTCTGGGACCTGGTCGAATGTGCGGGGGAGAGGAATATAAACGGGGAACCAAACCCTCTCATTCAAAGGACACAGAGCAGCATAGCGGCCCAGAAAATTCTGAAGCGTGAATTGTCCGTCGCGCTTCAGGACAGGGGGTCCGACGGCTTCGTCGTGATGATCGCCTACTCTCAGGGCTGCCTCTTGTTGAGGCAGGTGTTGCAAGAATTCGTGAAGGGGGGCTGCTATCGGGAAGCGATGGCGGATCGACTGAGAGTCTTCACGTTCGGGAATCCGAGCATCGACTGGATGGGCACGGACGCCCAGGCAAACGAGACCCCTCTCTGTGAGCGCGTCAACTACACTGAGCATTCTGCGAATGAGCGGGATTTCGTAGCAGCGCTCGGGGTGCTGAGGACTAACCAGGAAGAAGCCCTACGTAAGGCTGGCTACATACACGAAAGATCGTCTGTCTTCATCAACCATGGCGAAGACTGGGTCGGTCACCTGTTCGGGACCCAGTACAGCCTCAGAATGGAAGACTATGAGTATGGGGAATGTTCCAGGTTGCTCGCATGTGCTGGCGGACGAGAAATGGGGTGATAAACCGTTGACCTGTACAGGAAGTGTCGTGAAGGGTGGTAAATGGAAGAAGTGATAAAGTTAAATCAGTTGAGCAAAGTATGGCTGGGTTCTGCCTGTGTCGCATGGGACTTGGTCAATCGACCTTGCATTATCAAGAGCTATCGTTTTGGACTCGGTGTATAGCGGCCAAAATTCAATCTCCTTGCTGCCGGCTTCAACGTCTAGACCCTCAAACAGGTGCTGTAGTCGTTCCAATGGCTTTCCTTAACGCAGGGTGAGTCAGGGTGTGCGAATCCATTCTATAACTTACACCATGTTGTAGGCGCTAAACAAAACGATCGGGTCAGCCAAAATTACCCTTTTGAATTTCGCGGTCATTAAGCTAGCCTCTTCGGCTCTTAGCGTAAAATCCATCTAGCCAACCAGATTTTAGCGGTCACGCACTAACTTCGTTCGAATTTCGCGGTCATCATACTAACCTAATCAGGATTTAACGGTCAATTCAGGGGCATCTCATTCCCTAATCAAGCATGTAGACAAGAAATGCGCCGCATTTCCACTTCTGCACCAATCAGAACCTCCATATTCTTACCCCGAATTTCTCCTCTGGAAATGCGCCGCATTTCCATCTAGGCCCGTAAACCAAGAACACGAAACGCGCCGCGTTTCTTCCACGAAGGCCCGTGCCAACCATGTAGAAGACCGCGCTCTTGGACTTCACAGCGTGTAGTAATTTCCGTTGTGTCAATGAGGAGGAAGGGAGCAGCGATTAAGCTCTTTCTTTGTTCTTGGCTAAATGTGACTTCATAGAGGGTATTCGACCCTCTTGGTGCCTTCGCAACTTTATTAATATGACAGGCCTCGCGACGTACACGGAGCCTATTGTCACGTTGCGGCCAAGTCCGCTTCAAAAGCTCGAGAACCTCGACTTATACTATAATTCACCAGAGCCAGCAATAATTTGCATCAAATGCGGCTTCGCCATTAACCCTACGCGCGCGCCGCGGCACCCAGGCGACAAGCATCATCTACCTAAGTCTGCCCGCCGTGGTTTGAATCCTAGTAGCTAATGACTAAATCAACTCTACTAGAGTTGATTTTACTGACCCACTTTAAGCCTAGTAGAGTTGATTAATGCCAGGGTGTAGAGTTGATTTTGCATTATTCCATATACAGAAATCATTAAGCTGATCGAAACCGGGGTTAGCGCAGAACCCGACAGGACGCGTCGCGTAAATTACCAACTATGGCCCGTTACGAGTGTCGAAAATCCATGTCAATTTCTAGAGCCTTGATTGGTCTAAAAGTCGTAATGGGCCCCGTTACCAACTGGAATCCATGAGTAGAAGAAAATCCCCTCTCTTTTATCTCATAAGCTATATCTTTAGTTAGAATGAAAACCACACTCGTTGCCTGCCAAAGGCAGAGGCCATCACATCAGTTCCTGACCAATCGGGTCAACTCTCGCTGCACATCCTTAAACGATCTCACGGTATCAACTACACTTTCCTCCAATGTCCTGTACCTCAATCCCAACTCCTCCGTCGCCCGACTATTGTTAAACCCATAAACACCCTCCTTCGGGTACCCACCAGCCTCTCCCTCGCAGCTCGGCAGCGCATCTTGATACTCCGGGAACCACCTTCCAATGATCTTACAGATGTCTTGGTTGGTGAAGTATCCCTCTGTCAAAAGGTACCTTCTGTTCCCTCGCGCGGTAAGCTGAGCTTCCATGGCTTTCACGTGCGCCACAGCCAAATCCCGCACGTCGATCCAGAGGAAGAAAGACAAGCCTGTGTCTGGAATCTGCGATTTGTAGGCCCCCGAGATGAAGTTATAGATGCGCTGACTTGATATATTTATCTCGCCCAGACAAGAGAGAGGTTGAATGACGGGACCAAACGCTAGCGTTGGGCAGATTGTTGTGAGGGAGAAAGCGGGCTTCCGAGTATCCATCAAGTCCCAGGCAGCTCGCTCGGTGAAGAGCTTACTGGCCCGGTACCCGTTCAATGTATTTTGAAAGGCGTCATCCATGGTAAGCGGGTTCCAGTCTGACTCGGTGTACGTGTGCTGTGGAATAGTGTTGGGCTTGTAGCTGTTCAGGATTGCAGCAAAGGAGGAGGTGAGGATCACGGTTTTGACTGATGGGGCGTGGTCGCAAACCGCTGTTAGTAAGGATGTGGTGCCGACAATGGACGGGTCCAGCAATTCTCGCTTGATGTCAGTCGCCGAATAATAGAAAGGTGAGGCGACATGCATGACGACGTCCAAGCTTGTGCTTGATTGAAGGCATTCATCGAAGGCTCCATGTGCGGTGAAGTCGGGGATGACACAAACGGCGATTTCGGCTTTAGTAGTATTTTTGTATCGTGCGAGTACTTGGTCACCTTTCTCCTTGCTGCGAACCGTAATCGTTATGGAATGTCCATTACTCAGGAGGGCATCAAGAATGTGGCTGGCAACAAAGCCATTGCCACCCGTGAGGAGGACGCGAACCATTTTTCTGACACGTGAATCGGGTTAGACTTTCAGAACGAGATCCTATCGTCTCCTGGACAAGCACATCATTTTATATGGACACACGTGGAGCTATCACAGGGCACGTGGGTGGTACTATCTGGTATTGCTCTTGATATGACCAATCAGAGTTCGAGATGTAAAGTTCCGTGCATACTTCTGGTCAGTCGTGGGCGGGGTAATAGCGCCTCGATAGGCCAATTTTTACAGCCTAAGGGTGCAGAGTTTGGCATTCGAGTACCTGCCGAAGATGGGATACGTGACGACGAAGACGGTATGACTCATCTTGCCGATATCGTAAGCAAATTATGTGACGGTTGTGGTTTCCAAGGGATAAACTAGTCCGTTCTAGGTTTATGTTGGCAGATAACGTAGGGCGTGATGCTGAGCGGTGCGAAGTGTCACGTCTCTTAATGATCAAGTAATGCGTGTTAGGCTTATTGATGTAAAGAAGTCTTATTGATAGCTGGTGAGCTAAGATCTATGAAAGTGCTAATGAATGTGTTCTATATACTAATGTCGTAGAGTGAGGGACGACGGTATGTAGGGACGCAGCGTTCCAGGGACGACGGCGTTCTGGTGTTGGTCGTCCTTACATGAACCGTGTCATGATTGGTGAGGAGGAAAGTGAAATTGTGGGGTACACGTGACGTAACCGCGGGGGTCGTAACACGTTAAGCCTTTAACAACTTACGGGCTTTAACTCCTGCGGATCGGACGGAATTTACACCGTAGATAAGTCTGGGGTGCCTACTGTACCAATTACCACTGGTAATGGCACCCAATACCATTTTTTGCAGCCCGTATACCTCCCTCCTTTGGTTTTTCTAAGGGATTTGGGTCTAAGTCGGAATATAAAAAATATTTAGCCTATGCGCCTTCTCATTTTAGGGTTAGGGTTAGGATAGGGTTAGTATTCACTATCTAAGCTATCTTTGCCCAGTTGCTTTGCTCTAGCTACAGACTAGCAAGTAAGAGTGAGTGGAGAGGTCTACAGATATAAGGAAAGATAGAAAAGAGAGATATAAGGAAAGATAGAAAAGAGAGATATAAGGAAAGATAGAAAAGAGAGATGATAAGAGGCCTATAGGAAAAGGAGGAAAAAGAGGGATAGCTATAAGGTAAAAAGAGTAAGAAAATAAGCTATAGGGTAGGAAAAGAAGGTAATAAGAAATAGGAAAAAATAAAAAATAGAAATAAGAAAAGGTAGAGAAGGTAGGTAGGGGTTATAGAAGCCTTAGGGAGACCTTCTAGAGAGGTTCCAAGGGTTACAGCTAGGTCAGCCCGTAGGCTAGATGCCTTATCCACTAGATGTTCCTTCTGGACTTCTAGAGTAGGCTGGCTAGCTAGGGCTCTATAGAAGGCTCTTACAGTGGCATCATGCCTTGCAATCCACCTTCTATTAGCACCCTTACAGGTATCCTATTCCTGTATTCCGTTCATCCCTTGCCTAGCCGATGTTCTCTAGATCATTGGTTGCAGGGATTACATCTCCTCAGCCAATCATAATAGCCCAATGCAACACAGCCAATCAGGCACGACCCAGGTCGAGATCATATATTAGCAGCAAAGGATGGGAATATGTAGCTGTAATGCGGAGCCTTATAACCTGGGAGAAATAAAACTCTAATTTATGCGGTTATAGATATACCGTGAAAGGAAGGAAAAGGCTTTTCTTCTGTTTCTTATATTCATCTCGCTAATTGCGCAAGGATGTCAGCGATGAAGCGCGCCCAAAATTGCATCGAGTGGGCCAGCTACAATGGGTGGGTACGAGAAGAAATAAGCCACCAAGACTCGGGGGCCAGCGACAGTTGATTTGTGCGTAAGCAATCGGTATGAGTCACTAATCAACCTCCTTCTTTCGACCTCGAGCGTCAGACGTCTGCAGTTTGTCACGGAATCTCGGAATTTTGGGGTAACACGGAGATTTTATCTTACCATGTGGTAGGTGAGGGCATTGTCGTGATTCGGCGAGACGATTCTGGCTTAGCGTAACGAAGCGTCCCACATAACCAAAACCTACCCTACATCCTTATTGTCCGTCCCATTTTCAGTAAAAGAGGAAATTCTTTATCTCTCATTGGCTTATACCCCTGCTAGTTCCTCTTTCACTGAAAAAGGGACAGTGTTTTGGAGGTCCCCGCACATTTTTTGATTAAAAGTGCGTGATAAAACTTCCTTATTGGCTATTTTGTTCTTTCGTTGCAACCCTCATAGCTAGCTTTACTTTTATGGCGCAGAGCGATACTACTTCATGGGCGTCTACGCGTAGATCGATATTTTAATCGCGTGTGTTTCGTGACCGCGTTTTAGAGGTATAGATAGCACTTTACTGATCGATGCTTAATCATGTCAATCGTTCATTTTTGCTATGATGCATTGACCTTTCTAGTGACCCTGACCATCTTCAAACATGTGGCCTCCAGAGTTCCGTGAACATCAGCCTGATGATCACGACGTCGAACAGAATGAAACAACTCCATGGTTACAGCATACCGGTTGGCCTCGCTTGTTTCACAACCGACCGCTTGGCATCATCGCGGCCACCGCAAAAAAGCCCAAATCAGCATGGAACGAAGACTATCTATTAGGTCAATGGAACGATACAGCGCTCCGGAGTCTAGCTGCTGTGGAAGCCCAGCTACGAATCATACTCCGTGGTGTTGACCTCATGGTAGATCGAGCCACGTTCACGCTAGCCCAGACTTCATACCGATCTCGATGCTGGTTGAATACATACTGGAAAGATAACTTTTGACCCCACGAGTTTAAAATTGTGAAGTGCTTGAAAAGATATGTTGACATATGGAAAAGGTTCATTTGTTATGTGTTTAGGGTTCAGCATTTTAAATCATATCAACAGCAAGACATCTACAACTTATGACTGGGACGCGACGAAACCATCATGATGCGTCATATACTATATCTGGTTACTCTTCTACAGCGCGATGCAACGAACTATGATTGGAATCCGGACGAAGGATGTGAGGGAGATGGAGATGAGCCTAGCGACTGTGATGATGAAGTTGAAGATGAAGAGGAAGACGATCATGGAACTGATGAGGATTATATCAACGAGTACGACCGAGTCGAGACTGAGATTCATTCCAACGGAAATGATGAATATCACGATATGAATGATGGCGAGGATGATTTACCTGTAGATCCGACGTTCTCTCACACTTATCTGACGACGACGTCTGTTAGACCGCATTGAACAATCTACTGTACGCAGTCGTGGCGGTAACATGACAGGATACAACAAAACTGGCCCGTGCACGATGACAGTCCTATCCGTGCACACACTCTTATCCCTATAACATGACAGGATACAACGCAACTGGCCCGTGCACGTTGCTGGGTCATCTATATTAGTTATTTCACATAACATAGTTACCCGTTGGCTCGAGCCCGAGGGGGGGCCACTAAGCAAGCTTAGTTGGACACAAAAGTGCGGGACACGCACAAAAGTGAGGGACAACCCCGCTCGGCCGGCTGTCGTGAATTTCATTGATTTTGTATGTAAAATCAACACAAATCTAGACACCAATCAGTGAAAAAGGCAGTAATCTTGTCTAAGTGCATTATGCATACCAATCCAAATATAAGAGCTGCTCAAGCAGTCGTTTCTTCGCGCCAACGACTCCAAAAGAGCCTCTCTCGTGATGCTTCTAATAAGCCGAAGAAGCCTCTTTCAATCCGCGATGCTCAGAGTCAGTATAAAGGCTCTAACAAGTCGTCCATTGCGCGTCTTGTTAAGAAGCTTGAAGATGCTAAAACAACGGATTTTAGCCGCGTTCCTGATGCAAATATGGGCCGGCCGCGACTCCTTTTGGATGATGAAGAAGAGGCTATCGTATGCTTCATTATTTGGATGCAGAAGTCTGGTCTTCCGGCCGCCAAGAACGAGATTGAAGATGCAGCGGATACGATAAGAAGGCGCCGTAATCCTAATGCTCCTCCGGTCTCGCGGATGTGGTATAGGCGCTTCCGGGACGACCATCCCGAGCTTGATATCTCGATTTTGAAGTCGAAAGAAGCGGCTCGCTATGAGTATGAAGAAGCCGGCGTGGAGGAGACGAAGCAGTGGTTCAAACGACTCTCTGAAGTCATCACCAGATACAGAATCGGCGCCTCAGAGTGTTGGAATGCTGATCAAGCCGGAATTAGAGTCGGGATACTGCGAGAGCGGGTGCAGTGCCTTGTTGTACGTACCAAAAAGAAGACTCCAACCGAGGTATTCTCGCCTGAAGATAGGGAGACTTGTACGGTGATCGGTACGGGCAACGCCGCAGGAGCAACTACTCCTCCTTGGCTTATCTTCAAAGCTTTTCCAACGATCGAGTGGGCAGATATTAACGGCGATCCTGATATGCGCTTTGCACAGTCGGAAACAGCGTTCTCTAACGCCGAGATAACGCTTGAGTGGGCGAAGCACTTCAACCGGTGGTCTTGGGGGAAATCTGCTACCGTACAACATCATCAGCTAGAATTTGAAGAGTGGTTTGGGGGTAACGAGCACCTAAAAAGCGATTCCAACCCTCTCACTCCATATGACACGCCTCCGGGCACGGAAGGAAAGTCAGAAGAAGAGCTTGTGTGGCGGTTGCTCGTTATCGACGGCTTCTCCGGTCACGGCTCCTTTGCCTTTCGAGAATACTGTATAAAATTCAATATCCTCGTTGCTTTCCTTCTTCCTCATTCAACTCACATACTTCAACCAATGGATCTCGGCGTTTTTCAGTGGTTAAAGAATGCACACCAAAAAAGGCTGCGAGAGGCTTTACGGAAGGGAAAGTTGACGTTCAACCGGCGTGACTTTGCGGGCTCCTTCAAGGTAGGTGTTAGCAGCTTGCATCTTCTCCAAAATACCCCTCTTTTTACATACTAATCCTCATAATATCAGGAGATCTTCGAAGAAGGCTTCACGGCAGCCCACATCATCACAGGCTTCGAAAAGTTAGGAATTTTCCCGCTGACCGAGGTGCCTGTAGTTAGTTATCTGCTGAAGAAGAAGCTGAAGACTCGTAAGGCCATCGATCCGGCGTTATCCTCACTCCTCCCGGCGGAAAATCGCTTCCCTCTAGCTTCTGACGTGGCGAGCGATGTCCGTAACCGCTATCACGATATTCTAAGCTCCCCAACGCGCCGGGGACTTGAAGCTGTACAGAAAATCGTCAGCGACGCTATTGTGCTTGAGGATATCGTGAGGAAGCACGTTGATGATCGCCGAGAGCGTATTGAGAAGAGATACCACCAGAGAAAGCGCGGAAAGCGAGGAAAACCGGTAGGAGATTATTTTCACAATATAAGCTTGCAAGAGCTTCGTGATCAGCAGGCTGAATTTATTGATGTAGGAGCAAAAGCTGAACAGAAATCTCAGCTTCGGAATCTTCGATCTTTTGCAATCCGGCAGATGGAGGAGATAAAAGCCGAATGGCGGAAGAAGAAGGAAGTTATCGTTGACGGCGTTGAAAAGAAGCTGCGCTTTAAGCAGTGGCTTGAACATACTAAAAGGGATATAGAATATGCATCTCTCGATGCCTCACGAGCTCAGATATCCTATCAATTAAAGGTAAAGGAAGATTTCTATACGATCGATACCCAGCTTGCCCCGGAAGTCCGTGAGGCTATTCACGAGGCCGGCTTCGCAGCAAAACCCCTCTCGGCAGTAGATTTATCAGGGCTTCTCAACAGCGATGATTCCGTTGATTTCCACCTTACACAACCGCCGGCCGATGCCGCGTTTAATGATGAAGATAGCCTCATTGATTTATCTGATGAAGAGGAAGTCGCGATGCCCTCATCGCCGCCTTGCTTACCCGACTACGAGTCTCCCTTTCCAACGGTACCCTCAACACCATGCCCGGCTCAACACCAAGCCCAATTTCGCGATGCCCTCATCAATCTCATTGAGGAAGAAAGAGCTGCTACAGAAGCCAGTCTCAGGCTAGAAGAACAGGAAGGCTCCCAATTTACAAGAGAAAGCGTTCTCAATTAAGCAGATAGCTTGCTGCCACAGCAGCTATTTCCCTTCTTCAGATACAGTCAATAGCAGATATATTATCACGAGAAGCTTCCTTTTCACAATACAGCAATTTCCCCTCCTTTGACGCCTTTATGAATGAGGAAATATTGAAAATGCCGCAAAACACACCAAAAATCAGGCCTTCTGGATGTCCCTCACTTTTGTGCGTGTCCCGCACTTTTGTGCCCAACTAAGCTTGCTTAGTGGCCCCCCCCGGGCTCGAGCCAACGGGTATAGTTTTATTTACCCCCCTTTTCTCTTCCTCTTCTATTTCCCTCTTCTCTTATTTAGCTCTATTAATAATACTATCTAGATCTCGCCAGATCCTACTCCTTACTATTATAATAGAAGCAATACTCAGATCTGGATCCCGCCATACTTATATCCTACTATATTGCTTCTGTCATGCCTACCTCTCTCTACCCTCTTCTTGATACTCTCCAACTCTTCTATGATACGAAGGCTTGTCTCCTGATCTGCACTCAAGAAAGCTGCAAATTTGCACTATCCAATGGCCCTTCACAGGTAGTAGCACATCTCCGCGATAAGCCTAATATCCCCACAGAGGCAAGGAAGGGACTACATCGCCTTCTCAAGTCTCTATCTCCTAAACTTCTTGACCCTACTCTAGAATACTAGATATTAACGGGGCCCGTTACGGGTTTTATGCCAATCAAAACTATTGAATTCGACATGGGCTCCTCAAACTCGTAACGGGCCCCGTTACTGTCCAGGTCGTGTTTACAAAAACGCGGAACGGGGCCCGTTTCATAACACGGTGATCCGTGCCATCCTTGCTGAGTTCATTGCTTGTGGGCAAGAGCCAATCATAGGTAACTAAAATAGTTAGTCGATTTGACTTTAAGTCTAATCTCTCCTTGACTGTCGCGTCTTGTACTTATATTCAATGGTTTAGCAATTGGATTTATAGTATTTCTCTTCTCTGAATATTTCACCTTCTCAGTATGTCTACTTAAGTACCTTTAAAAAACCGCCTTTATTAACAAACCATCACGCCAAGTTAAGTTTTGACGCTCAGGGGACTAGAACTTTACTACAATATTTTATATTAAACTAACTAACCTTAATTGAAAAATATTAAAGAAATATAAAGCTTCTTAGGATTTACTAATTATTATTAATAATTTATTAAAGTTTTTAATAAAATAATAAACCCTCTTATCAAATTGCCTATAATCCGTTGAGAATCCTTCATAGCTTTCCGGGCCTGCCGACAGTCCGGTCGAAGAGCAGGACGAATGGATGGAGGAGGGGCGGAAGCATATTGAGCGTCGCCGCAGCTTTGAAGCACGTGATGGTGTATGTCTTGGTGATTTGAAGCCATTCTTCATGGCGACAAAGCTCCTCACCTAAGAATACGCGAGAAGAGATACAGGCAATCAAGTCCAAGATATCATCCTTAAGAAGCCGGCCCCACCGCCGCCGAGATTGGGTCGCACGGGCTGCGTACGGAGAGTCCGAGAGTCCGAGAGTCCGAGAGCCTGAGAGCCTGAGAGCCTGAGAGCCCGAGCCCCTTCGAGGAGTTCGATGCCTCGCAATAATAAGATGTAGACAACTATCCACACGCAACGGTCTACACGTAACGGTCCACACGCAACTATCCACATATAATTGTCGCACCTCCTTCGAGCTGCTCTACTGTGATAGACTTTGAGCTTAGCGGTTGGGAAAGTCGGCAATATACAGTTTAACAAAATTAGCCGGACCAAGCTGTACTCTATATTTGTTCATTAGCATGACTGTGAGGCTATATGACTGTGTAAGTATGAGTAAAAATACACTAAAGTTCTTCGGACCCCGAGATTTACTCCGTTCCCGGAAAAGCATCGTTGCTCTTATAGAAAGATGTCGGGGCCCCGGAGCTAAGTTGTGTCCGTAGACAGCAGCCCCTTAAATAGACCTCGCAACCGGGACAGGACTCGTCGAGTATAAATAGCTCCCCTTTCTGTTAAGAAGCACTGGGGAAAGCAACTTTAGTTGATGTCTACTTTACTACCTACAGCACTTCATTAAATAAATAAAAAGATTAAATTATGTCTACAACCTCTACGAAACTCCGATTTGACGGGAGGGTGGCGATCGTCACTGGCGGGGCGCAGGGCATGGGAAGGGAGCATTCGATGCTTCTCGGTAGCCGTGGCGCCAAGGTCGTCATTAATGACCTCGACGAGAAAGGCGCTGAAGCGACAGTCAAGGCTATTCAAGCTGCAGGAGGTGAAGCGATCGCTGTCGCCGGGTCTATTTCGGAGCGAATTGTCGTCGAGGCTCTTGTCGATGCTGCGATCAACACCTGGGGTCGGATCGACATCCTGATCAATAATGCGGGTATTGACTTCTCGAAGCCTTTCACTGAGTTCACCGACTCTGACTTCAGTCGCTTCTTGGGCGTTCATGTTTGGGGCACGTGGCTGTTGACGCAGCTGTCGTGGCCGCATATGCAACGCGCAAAGTATGGTCGGGTCCTGATAGTGTGTTCCCATTCTATCTTTGGCATGCCTGGCAACGCAGCCTACACTACAGCCAAGGGAGCGCTCTTTGGATTAGGTCGCACATTGGCACTTGAGGGGGAGAGTGGTGGCATTCATGTCAACCTTCTTGCCCCGGTTGCGGCAACAGCTATGACGAAAGAGATGTTGGGAGGTAACGAATCGATGTTTGAGTGGGCGTCGCAGCAATATCCACCTTCTACTGTGTCTTCAGTGGCATCGTGGCTTGTTCATGAGGACTGTGAAGCTAACGGCGAATTCATTGGTTCCTACGGTCGGGGACTAGGCAAGATTGCACTGACGCATTCTAGAGGCGTGGTGTGTGATGGCCAAGGAGAGTTTACTCCGGAGGTTGTTAGAGATAATTTTGCTAAAGCTTTGGAAATGGAAGGCGCTGTGGTTTTGAGTTCGATGATTGAGGTGCAGAATAGTATAATTAGTCCTGGGGAAAATGTGTCACTGTGAGCTGATGCACAATTTAGAGTAGGGTTCCGTCGAGGTAATTTACCGAATGGTAATTTACCTATCTGACCAAAGTTTTTGACGTCAGAAACTTCTAGGTATTTTACATGTCAAAAACCTCTCATTGGCCGATGTCCATATCATCTCCACTAGTTTTCAAATCGGTCTCTTCCCAACCCCAGCCATCGACAACAACATAGAGTCTTGGAATCAGTGAAGTAAATAGTGCAAAATACGGCACGTAGAAGTCGGCAGGTTGGGACTCCTGTACAGAGTGCGTACAGTAGTAGTAAGACATGTTTTAAGACCTTATTACGTGTTTATGATATATATGGTGTATTTCTATTGCGTGTGAAGCTTCTAGTTTGAGCAGTAAATATTGATTAGTTAGCGTTCATTGACGCAACATCTCATTGATTTTGCTCACACCTTGATAGTCGCCCTCGAGAGTTTCGGCTTTGTCTTCATCAACCCAGCCCGGGGTGTAACTACCACCGAAATCAATAATCCACGCATTTTCGTCCTTATCTATGAGAACATTATCTGACTTAGCATCGCCCCAGACAATTCCTTCTTCGTGCAACCAGTGGACTGATCTATTAATTTGCGATAGCCAGCGTTCCCTCAAGGTACCTGGGCTTTTCGCTGCTCTGGCCTTCGATAATACGCACTCCGCATCTATCCAGGCAAACAACATCCCTAGTAGCTTGTTGTTTTCCCACACTACACCAACCAGTCGACAGATAAATGTGTTGGGTGGGGGGGAAACAGGGCCAGAGTAATCTTCTTCATTGCCTCAAGCTCCTTTTTTGCATGCGATGAACCAAATGACAAGCCGAATTGTTTGAAAAAACAGGTGACTGGCTGTCCCTTTTGATTGAATATAATCGTTCGTTTGGGTGTCTTAATAAGACTGTCTTCGGGGCGATCGTAGCATAACTGCACGTTGGACGGTGCATAAGATCGAGTCCACTGATCAAGTTCGCGTAGGAAGTCATCATCTACCTCGATAATGGAATTAATCCAACCGTGCCCTTCGAAGTCGACTACTTCAGGCTTCAACTCATCATCCACAGCAAGAAGTTGAATGTTGTATGTTTTGGAAGGAAATAGATAATGCGCCAAGGTCGGATTCACAACAGCGTCCATGCCCGAAGACTGTACCAGCTGAGTGATCAACGGCGCAAAGGATTGAGACAGCCAGTCGTAGGCATCTTCGTCATAAAAATCATCGATCTCCTGTTCACCAGTTCGCAGAATCTGGAGACATTTGAGATATTGTCCAAGAACAGTAGGAGAATCAATGAATTTGTCGGGGTTAATATGACAATAGAACACCTGTCCTAAGGTTGAACGAAAGATCAGATTACAATCTGTCTCGGTCTCATGCACTTCCCAGCGCGTAAAATCAAAGTTTGCGTTTGATTTCATCCTTGTAAGATTTATTTTTTGTGGTACGAAAGTAATGAGAAAAACTTTGCCTTGCGTCCGACGGAAGGAAAAGTAAGGTTTGAAGGGAGGTTTGAGGACAAAACGAAAATAAAGTGCGAGCGTGAGATTACTATTTAAGGAGTGTGAAACCTGATAATTAAGGCCATAATCGACCAAGCTCCGTTTGGCCAAGCGCCACAAAATTGGCGAGGTTTCAATAGCCGCTACAAGTACACCAGTTTTACTTAACGAGCGCTTAAGATGAAGAGACTCGAATCCTATAGGGACAGATAAGTGAGAGTAAGCAGCCAAGCAATTTCTGGCCGCATTGGCGCCGGCCCCTAGAAGCTAGCAGATGTCGATACATGATCGGCGTTTCGCCCTCAAATCACACTCATGTCTGTCAATGTGATGGGGCGCGAAGATAAGCCAGAGCGCTTCTTCGAGCAATTGTGCCAGGTGGGCTGAAAGCATATAAGAGAGATGAATCCGATCGTGATACAGATACAAGTGAAAAGCAAATAACACCTTCTAGCCGTTCTCTATTTATTTGTAAGTCTCCAATAAATATAGTTAATACACACTCGTACTCATTTTTAAGCACAGTCAGGACTCGAGCATCAGGTGTCAAACATGGATGTACAAGTTGGTTTGTGGTCACCAACAAGGAGAAAAGTGGTACAACCCTGAACAAGCAGAAGATTGTCCCTATGCTGTTGCGGCAAATCGGCGCCATAAACGAACCGGAGCTCTCCTGCGTTGCACCCCCTCTTCAACACAAACAATTTCTGCTCAGGGTATATGTGATAGACCGGAGTGTTATGTCAGAATTTACCTTGATCCTAACGGATGGTGGTGCTACTGCTGTGGGTACACAAATGAACCTAGGCGGGATAAATGCAGGGGCTATGTCTTGGGCCAGGAACGTTGTCGGCACAAACCGTGTAAGTAGTGCCTACCATATGACCCTGCTCAACGCTGAACCTTTTCTATTTGACATATTTCAGGTATTATACAGTTGAGTTCATGAGATCAATAAATGATGATCTCTAAGGTTAGCTTCCTCGCTACCATTCTTGGCTACATGGGTGTCGAACTTTGCTTTTGCGAGAATTAGGTGCAAAGTTAGGGTATTTCTCAAAAATATGCTTTTCTGCTGCCCTGGTGGCTTTTCCAGTGACCTGTCTATAACGGTCGGCTATCTCGTTGTAGCTGATCTCGGTGATGAAAGGATGAAAGGAGTTTTGTTATCCAAACTCAACCATGAATAGTCCCCATGTCGCCGAATCATAATAGCGTTTACCTTTGTTATCTGCAAATGAGCGATTGTAATATAGCATTCTCAACTTATCGTCTCCCACCGGCTCCCTTCCGAATAGCTCTCCATAGAGCTACGAGACAACAAAAATGGAGAATCAATTAGATGCTTCATAGATAATCTTGACTCGATATTGGCCCAGCTGAGCAACTATCAAGATTATCCATAGCATTTCCTAGGTTGCTTGTTGAATCGACGCTGCCGCGAACGACAAGAAAACATTTTTGTGAAGCTGGGAGCACTAGCCATGTTAGGAAATGTAACGCTTGATCGAGATTCACTCTACCATGCACAACCACCCTTTCGCCACGCAAAAAAAAAAGGAGCACCACCAAAAATCAACAACTTTACTTACACAGAACTTGGCCAAAATGATAGATATGCGCAAAATTATTCAACTTATAAATAATAATTGCACATATCTATTGAATCCTAGGTCTTTTGATAAGCCGCCCTGATCGCGTGGTTGGTTGACGGGGTATGGTTTCCTCTCTGACCTCAATGACCGAGACAGCCTCCGATTCTGACTCCGGCTCGCCTGAGCAGCCACCTTCCACCACAACAGGCATATTTTGAGTCTCCTCTTCTGCTATGGCTTCTCCACCAGCTAGAGTCTCCCCAAGAGTCATAAAACGTTTGTTAGGATTCGGCACCGCCTTCCTCTTCTTCCCTCTCTTCAGGCGAGCCAATTCTTCCTCTAGGCTAGCAATCCTCGCAGTATGCGCCGCTACCGTCTGCTGTTGTGCCTCAAAGCCCTTGGCTATTACGTTGTATCGCCTCCGTGTCTTCGGTGTTTTGTTCAACCCAAGGTCACGAATTTGACGGCTCGTTTGTGGTGTATCGTCCGAGTCAAAATACGGCCTAGGTTCGGGAGTCGCTCTTGGGCTGCCATTTGGCTTATCTTCCTGGATTTCAGGGTGCCGTAACGCTTTCGCACGTGAAATTGGCCAGTTTCCAGTGACCCTCCAGCCAGACAGTATGTTCTTCTTAGTCATTCCAACTCGGCGAGCTTTGGCGTAGGCCCTGATGAAATTGACCTTGTCCATAGGAGCGGAATCAGTCAATGAAGCGAACTTTTCCAACTCTCGTCGATATGCGGCCTTCAACGCGTTGAAGACTCCATTGTCCAGTGGTTGGAGTCCATGAGAGCAGTGTGCTGGCAGATAACAGCAATAAACGTTGTTCAGGAAGCACGTGACCATCCATTCATCGTTTCATCACTCAGTACTGATCTTGAGGCGGGTAGAATGAAGAACATACTGTTGCATGGCTTCCATGACCATCTAAAATGATCAGTCTAGCGTCTGACTCGTCAGCAGGTGTTGTCTGGGGCAGATAAACTCTTTCAAGCCATTCAATGCCTATATGGTCATCAGTCCACCCGTTGGGCGAAGTTATGTAATACCAGTCTGCTATCTTCTTGAATTCCTCAAGAAACCACTGTTTCTGGAGTTCTTTCCCCTTAAAGATTATACCGGGGATTAAGGCGCGGCCATCGGCGGTAATAGCTTCGATAAATGAAGTCCAATTTCGAGCTTGTGGTCCCTTGAGAAATGCCTTCCGCTTTGGGTGAGCGCTTCCAACAACCAGGCTATCTAAGCCTAAATAAAAAGGATTAGTCAGTCAATTTCAAGCACTGACAAGGTATACAGATAGATACTTGCCGAAACCTGTCATAATACCCCCTTCGTCAACGTTGACGGTGTTTTCAGGCTTGATCCAGCCATACTGGCCCTCCCTGATATCAAAGTACCAGTGAACTGCCTTAGGCGTGAAAGAGTCGAACCTATTGGCTTCTTGACGTCTACCCATCTTGGTCTTGAGGTCTGTGCGGCGCTTGATAAATCTAGTCACCCAATTGCGTCCTAACTCGGAATGTTCGCCCTGCTGTCTCAACAAGCCTATGACACAAGCGCGGACCTGATTGTGGGACGGAGCATAGCCTAAGGATTCCTGACGGAATATCCAGAAAGCCAATCTGTCCTCTTGATTCTTAGACAAACGTCGGCGAGGCTGGATCTGCTCTTTCACGGCTGTCTGGCCGTTAAGTCTATCGATTAGAGTCCTTCGGGGTACTCCCCGTCTCTGAGCCGCTTCAGAGGATGAAAAGCCATTATCAGTAATGTCCAATATAGCCTCAGCCATGTCGTCCTCTGTATATTCCCATCGAAGTCGCGACATAGGCATTTTTTTGTCGTTGTCCAAAACAAAGACCAAAAAACAAGGCAAAGAGCGGTGAGGAATTTGGTCATCTAACTAACAACATTTCCATAGCACAGCATGCATATATCGCATACCCCGCACAGCCTTACAGATTCAAAACAATTACCTCCAATCATTTCTATAGTCAATAACGGTAACTTCATTTAGGTAGATATTTATTTTGGCCAACTTTCGTGTAAGTGAAATTGACGAGTTTTGGTGGTGCTTTTTTTTTTTGCGTGGCGAAAGGGTGGGGTTGGCGAAAGGGTGGTTGTGCATGGTAAGCATGAGACATTTAGGTATAAAGGCATTGTCCTGATCATCATTCAGGCACATATCAACACAGATGCCAATACTCAAACAGATTTCTCAAGTGTACTCCTCTTTTACGTATCTCGCAGTTTTTATGTCGTTTGGACAGCAATGTATGCCATTGTTCCCTCCATTTGAAGCTTCCCACACGTGGGCGGAGGGAGTCAATGGCAACTCAACAAATACCAGCTTTACCAACTTCGACGTTGATTGCAGCAATGTTGACTTGACTGACAGCGAGTTGGAAGCGCTCCAAGAGTGTGTCAGCGCGTCTGCAGTCACCGGAGATGTCACTGATGGTGACTTCGAAACTACCCTTGACGCCAACGCTATGCCTGTCTTCTACACGACTAGCTCCAGCGAAGAGGCATACTATCATGACAACTCGCCTTTTCCACCTAGCGGTCGGTTCTGGAGGACTGTATGCCACAAAGTAAGTAAGCCATCTCGAAGACATTGGACTACTCCTTCTAACATTAATTTAGTTTGCCTCCATCTGGCCCAGAGGCTCTCATTTCTTGTCGTCTCTGTGGTCATATGGCTCCAGATAGAGATTTAAAAAGACATTACCAATCACATCTGCCTAAGAAGTATAGGGAGCGGTATAAATGTTCTGAATGTTCGGGAAAAGACTCTGCTAGACCGGATCTCCTACAAAGACACCAGACGAGTGTCCATAGACGTCTAACGAAGTCTTCAGCGAACAAGTAATCCTATACCATAGAACAATATAACTTATCTTACTTCTACTTATAGCAAATCCTATCATTACCTACTACTTCTACATCTATCTTCGTCATTGTAATATAAATCAGTATCCCACAGCCGCTGTCAGTAGCCAAGTTCTATAATGACAGTGTAACAGTCATTTAAAAGCACTCTTTCTAGAAACCCTTAAGGTTATTATAATCATAAGTAGCACCTTCGAATTATTACAACTGAATCTACCATCCCATTTGACAATATGTGTTACGGTGGCTGGAAAGAGACTCGCGAGAGTCAGTGAAGAAACTATCGTTATTATTATTTAAGGAGCTCAGCAGACAACTTGCGTGGCTGGCTGAAGGCTAGCCATGCACCCTGAAGGTTACTCCTTACCAGATTGTGCAAGCACGGAGTTCGGAATGATATGTACCGTTTTCGAGATTCTATTCGTCGCACATCACTCCAGGTTTCTCCATGAGTTTCTCCACTTGCCTTTTCCGATGATCCCAGCCACGAACCAGTCACTGATCACACGTTGTTAAGCCTTTCATACACATCGAGACCACATTGATAGCCAACAATGCGAGTTCTGTTTTAGTAAATGTTGCTTTTGCTTAGCTAAATTAGAAAGCAATGATAAAAATACATGTTTAACTAAATACTTTATAACATATATTTTAAAAACTAAGTTTTTATTTAGTTATTTTTTAAGTTATATTTATAACTTTATTGTTAAAAAGTAATTAAAGTATATAACATTTTAAGTCTAGGATAATACTACTTTATATTTCTTGCTTATTGATTTATACTTATATGTCCTAATCTTTTTTCCCCTTATATAGTTATATACTTTTTTACTTACTTTTATAAGTTATATCTTTAGTTAAAAGAAAACACTAGGGCAAATACACTCAAATAGTTAATACTAACCCTATCCTAACCCAAGTATTATTATTTAGTACTCTTATACTATGGAATAAGAGAAGCAAGCTCTTAGTAACGCTTACTCGCGCTTTATCCCAGTAATAGCAAACTTTCTCCCAACACCCACTACCCACAACATCCGCAAAAGCATCCACGCGGTCGGAACCCAAACATTGACCATGGCGTATATGTGCCTATGTGGTCCAGGAAGTACCGCCGCCACACCTGTGACAGCCAACGTCGCACCTGCGTGGAAAATGTCGAACGCTAAAAACGCAAACAAAACCGTCTTTATCACCTCCTCCGCGTCACCAATGTCTCGCAGTTTGTACCGAGCCACGTACAGGAGCATCGGCTCAATGACGCCACTGAAGGCAAGAGCGGCGATATATGCGTACCAGAGGCCGCGGAGTTGCGGAGTGTTCCAGGCCGATTCAGCGTCGCATGGCTTGTGCACAGGAGAGGGCGACCAGAAAGGCCCTGCACTATCGGACGGGGCGAGGGAGTGAAAGTGGTTAGAGGGTGATGCTGGGACCAAAAAAAGGGACGTGAAGATCACACTTGGCTGTGGAAGAGTCAATAAGCTGCCCATTGAGCTAAGAGTCTGTCAGAATGTGTACCTCGAGAACCATGAAGAGAATCTGATAGTGCCATGGAAAAACCTCGGAAATTCGCGTCATGATGCGATCCTCTCCTAATATCCAGCTGAAGGTCGATTATGAGGTAGAAAAAGATACGAAAATGCTAATGAGAGATCGAGATTTGCTACTGAGAGATTTTTTAAACGGCGAATCCAGGCGGTGTAATCGTGCAAACTATATTACCTTCTGTCACCCCGAATTTGCCCCTTTTTTAAATTGTCTCGTGATGATCCTAGGTTTAGGACACGTAATGCGGACCCATATGTTTTTACTTGATCTGGCTAGCGTTGCTTGGAGAATGAAGTGATTTGCGTCGCAAGGTCTTCTTGAAAATTAGTGTGCTAAGCGTTCAATTTTCTAGATTTATGCCTCGATATGTCTTTTGCGGCGTTGCGATGATTTCTTTAAAATGCAGTATAACCAAGATATCATTACTGTATACAGGGTACCATTGAGGGTCGTGTTTGAGCTCATGCTTTAATGGAGAAGTGGGAAAGCTCCAGCGAGCGATTACGCGCCTAGGAATTATGGAGACCAATGCAGGCGGGTGGACTGACCAATTACATTCGGCAAAACAAAGATGCACGTTTCATTCAATTGATGTGCCGATGAGGCGACTGCAAGTTCCAGTTATAGCCCACGATTGACCCAAAGCCGAAGAGACTTTACCATGTACATTGTCCTCTGCTTCGGTTCCCCCTATCTTCGCAGTGAAGTCTTTGGAACCATCAGCAGTGTCGAGATAGTTCACCTCTTTTACACAGTAGATAAGGGTTGGGTGGGGGGCCAATCTGTAGAACACGAATTTCGTTGATGGCGAGCGGCTTGGAGTTAGAAGTAGTTCAAAAAGTTCGCCTACTCAAGTATTCACGACAGGAACGGGGCCCGTTCCGGGTTTTAGACCAATCATATAGGCTAGAATTGACAGGGATAACTCTATCTCAGAACGGGTGTTGTTTATATTGCGCAGTAGTGCTGGGTGAAAATATATTTATGAAACTTAATTGTTCATTATTGAGATGAGAGTTCTTCTCGGGTTTATATCTCTAGATAATTTCATCTAGGACTTTGAACTTTAAATCTAGGACTTTCAGACTAACAGTCTGAATCCTGAAGATAAGGGGGATTCCCGGATTTTCCAACACGCCCCCATCTACCTTGTCTTCAGGGCACAGAGTCATCGTGGACGTCAGTACTCCAAATAATACGACCTGCTTCCTCGATCGGACATGCACTAACTCGAATGGCTTCTAGAAAGTGACCATGGCTGACGGCGTTCAACGGTTTAGTGAGTCCGTCTGCTACCTGCTCGTGTGTGCTGACGTATTGCACATCAATGTTCCCGGCTTCAACTTCTTCTCGGATATGGTGCTCGGTTAACGGAATGTGCTTTGTCCGTTGGTGAAGCTCAGGGTTTCTGCATAGCTTTAGGGAACCCTGGTTGTCGCCGTTCAGTGGAATAGGCATGTGTAGTGGCAGGAGCAGTTCAGAGAAGAGGTTCCTAGTCCAGGCCAATTCTCTGGCACATTGGGAGAGTGCTGTGTATTCAGCCTCGGTGGTCGATAGTGCTACTGTTTCGTGCCGTTTGGCCCTCCATGAGACTGTAGATCCTTCAAGTTGAACGAGCCATCCAAACGTCGATCTTCCCGTAACTGTGTCGCCTTTCCAATCCGAGTCGGCCCAAGCTGTGATGCTCCAAGCGGATTCAGGATCTTTCTTGACGCCCCCAAGCACCAGGCCGTGGTCTCTTGTCTGCTGTAGATAGCGAAGACCTCTTTTGATCAATCGTGAATGTGCTGGTGGTGGATTCGACATGTATCTTGAGAGTACCGAGAGTAGAAAAGCTAAATCGGGTCTGGTTTGGGTCATTCCATACATCAGCGAGCCGGTTTTCGAGCTATAGTCTTCTCGTTCCTCTGGAGAAGCCGAGTCGCCATTGTCTCTTGGTTGCAGTGTCGAGAGTGAATTTCGCTCCATGGGGGTCTTGACCGGTCGGCAATCTTCCAAGCCGAATTTCTTTAGTATTCTGGTAAAATATGCATCCTGGGAAAGGTAGATCAGCCTTGAGTTCCTGTCTCGGGTTATTCTTACTCCAAGAAAATGGCTGACGGGACCGAGATCAGTCATTGTGAAGATCTCTCCCAGGCGGGCTTTGTACCCTTGGATTGCTTCCTTGTTGCTGCCCATGATTAGGAAGTCATCCACATATGTGATGATGATCACTCCCGTTGTGGGATTGTGATATACGGCCGTGTCAGACGTTGCTTGTCTGAAGTCAAGGGATTCCAAGGTCTCCTTCAGCTTCTTTTGCCATTGCCGAGGCGCCTATTTGAGTCCATAGAGGGATTTGATCAGTTTGCAGATCTTCTCGGTTGAGAATCCTGGCGGACGGTCTTCTGGGTGTTGGTCGAAATACTCGACAAGCCCTTCCGGCATTTCGATGAAGACTTCTTCGTCGAGGTCCCCTTCCAGGAACGCCGTCGACACGTCCATCTGCTCAATCTCCCAGTCAAGACAGGCAGCAACGGTGAGGAGAATTCTCCAAGTCGCCGCCTTGGCAACAGAGGCAAAGGTCTGGTTGTAGTCAAAGCCGAACTGTTGTTCAAAGCCTCTGACCACCAGCCGCGCCTTGAACTTGTCCAGGTTGCCGTCCTCGTTTTTCTTGACCTTGAATACCCACTTGACTGTAAGTGGCCTATTGTGAGCTTGGTTGCGGTCCAGCATGCGCCAAGTTCCTTTCGTGAGGAGACTGCGCAGCTCACTGTGTATTGCTCTGAGCCAATGCTCCCTTTGCGGACCTTGAAGCGCTTCAGTCATTGTTTTGGGCTCAGTGATCACCTCTTTTCGGAGATCGGGCAGCTTAGCTGATGTCATGGATGTTGTCGTCTGTCCATGCTGGGGATTATGCACCTCAGCATGCTGAAGATTGTTCACTTCAGACCTTTGTGGGCTTGGAGTCTTTGTCTGCTCCGTGACGGACTGTGGCCGGCTTGAGATGGGAGCTCCGTTCTTGCGGATTTCCGGCTCAACATCATGCTCAGTTTCGGTCAGGAGTTCTGTCTCCCTAACCTTTTCGTAGAATTTCACATTTGCAGAGCGGACGATCTGATGTCCCTTTCTGCGAGAGGGCACCCAGCAGGTGTAAATCTGTGAACCTTCCATGCATAGGTAGATTCCAGCCTCTCCTCTTGGACCAAACTTGTGTGATCTCAATCTTCGTTCTTGCGGTATGTGTATCGTGACTTGTGAGCCGCAGATTCGTTCTCCGGATAGATCCGGCTTGTTGTCTTGTCCGGGCAAGGCTTCATTGAGAAAGCTTTCCATGGGAGTGAGGCCATCAATTGCCCTGGTGGCTGTCACGTTTGTCTTGCGCACCATGTCTTCCAGGACCAATGGCCAGAGCTCTATCGGGATTCTTTCTGATTCCATGGTTGCTCTGACTTTGTCAAAGATGATGCGGTTAGAGCGCTCAGCAACTCCGTTAAATTCAGGAGTATATGGTGTCGTCTTGATGATCTTCACGCCGTGAGTGTACTCGAGGTTCTTGAGAGACCCACCATAGAGCTCAGAGCCGCCATCCATCTGGATTGCATACACTCGGATGCCATACTGAATTCGTATCTTGGAGATGAGCTGGCCTAGAAGTTCCGAAGCCATCCCCTTCCTCGTGAATGTGTAGGCCCATCTCATTCGATGCCTGTCATCTGTGGCAATCATTCCCCATCGTTCGCCTCTAATGCCCGGTGGATTGACTTTGAAGGTGTCAACATGGATGAACCCGGCCCTCAAGGCTCGCTTCCGTTTATTTCGTGGAGTCCATCGTAGGGCCTTCGCGATGTCGCAGGCGAGGCAGTAATTGAAAGGCTGATGATCGTGGTGGTCGTCACATTACATTCCTCTGGTTATTTTGGCAGTCTGCGATACCTGATATATGTTGACGTGGCCGAGTCTTCGGTGCCAAAGATCGACATCCAGGCATTGCTTTGATGAAACAATGTGGTGATTGCATGGTTCTGGCTGGAGTTCGGAGACGGCCTGGTTTGGAACGGCAGTCTTTCCGACCTCAGTGTTGACGTATAGACCGTCCCTTCCTATGCGGAGGAGACCAAAGACGTCTCCTGTTGGGTCGTATATGTCGTTACCGTCAATCCAGCCGCCGTTCTTGTACAGCCTGAGCCCTGACATGACGTTTACCGGAAACTCAGGGATGAACAGCGTGTCTTTGAGGTTGACTGGGACCTGATCGCCCCATTTGTTTATGAAGCAAATTTTGACTGTCCCTCGGCCGGATGGGTACACCTTCCCACCGCCCGTAACGAGGACCGTTCGAGTTGCAGGCTGCAGCTCTGTGAATAGGCTTTGGTCGTTGCAGATATGGACTGACGAACCTGTGTCGAACAGCCATTCCGCGGTTGAAAAGATGTTATCAAGGGAGACCTTACATATCTCTGTATTGTCCATCGGTAGCTCGTCTGAGACGCTGTCTTCAAGCATCAGAAAAGATCGCTCGACTGTCATGTGATTTGATTCCTTGATATGGAGATTCTTGGTGTTGTCGCGTTGAAGATCATGCTCCATGAGTTCCAGTGTTGCTAATAATATAAACAATATGATATTGCCAATATGAGCATGACTCATATTGTATTTATTGCCAAGAACCCAATACATTGGCAGTGTGACAGTACACCCAATATATTCCACGTGACCCCACCACTATACCGCTTCTGCACAAATCTCGTCACCCTGAAAATCACGTATCCCAAACCATGACTTCAGGCACTCCAATGCTTCAATTACATCACTCCCAAGTCGATTTCGACGGTCTGTAATGGTTATCTTTGCACCAGAGAAGAGTCTTTCAGGCTCCGCAGACATTGCAGGAATTGACAGGGCTGCCGTCAGATCAATCAAATCAGATTAGGGCGTAAATCTGAACTGAACTGATACTTTACTCTCTGCATCTGATCTGATTGATTGATTGATAGATATCTGATATAAAATAGGTCACGTGGAGCTATTCCCAGCCTCACGATTCTGCCCGTGGGATCTGACTGCCTTGTTGCTTAAGCATAGGCCCCCCAGAGTAACACACCCTCCCCTTATCCAGTTCTTCAGTAGTTGGATCGACTCAATGCTCGATCCAAGTAGAGAGTGTCGCTGTGAGCTGACTGTAAGCTTCGCAA